GCACGTAACATCATCAAGGACCACACACACCCACAGCACACACTGTTCACACTCCTGTCACCTGCTACAGGTGTGTGAAAGCAAGGACAATCCACAGGCTATCAGGCTACTGAATCACTGACTTATGCTTGAACTGTGATTATCTTTAACCTGTTAAATTGCAATTTTTTTTTTACATCTATATCCAACATAACACAACTTCATACAGTCTAAACATTTTAATATAGCACATTCTGTATATATTACCACTGTGACAGTGTTGCAACTACTGGCACTTTAAATTCTGACTACACCCACACGTAAGCTACATAAGCACTTGTTTTACTTTATTATTTTCTATGCTCAGACTTAAACTTATTCTTTATTTTAGTTAGTTGTTATTTAGTTGTGTGAAGGGAACCTGCAAAGTAAGAATTTGATTGCTCTGCATAACCACTTGTGTTTTGTGGTGTATATGACAATAATCTTCTTGAATCTTGACTGTAAATAACATCTGAACTAGATCATTTTGAACATGAACAAAACATCTGAAAATGAGCTGTGAACTATGAAGTAGAAACGTGAACTATGAGCTGTGAAAACCAAAGGGTCTGTAAATTGTCATAGCAGGAGCTAGAGAGACAACTCAGGGAGAGGATTGTGGCTCAGGTGAGGGTCAGTGGCACTGGAACACACAGAGATAACTGTAAGTGATGGCAGCGATTGGTCAGGTAAGAAGAGTAAGTAACCAGGAAGTGTCTTACAGATTTTGTAGGTGGAGGCTGGCGTGAGGGGAAGGCAGTCGAAGTGATCCAGGTGTCCAGAATCCGAGGGTCCAGAGGGAGTGTTTATCGTGAATCCTTTGAGAAGGAGCAGGGAGGAAGGCAGGCGGGTAAATGGATATCTAACAGAGCTTGGGCTGTGACCATGATTACTGAGCAGTCAAGCGTTCAGAAGTGGTGAGTAATGTTGAGAGTGAAAAGATGTACCAGACGATTCCTGAAAACCACAGAAAAACACCAGGTAAGCATACACCAAATACGATGATGCACAGGAATAACTTGTTGGTCTGGTGAAGACTTATTGAGAATCAGAATCAGAATACTTAATTGATTCCTAGGGGAAATTATGTTGGTTACAGTGCTCCAGTCCAAACAGTAACAAAAACAGACAATACAAGAAGTAAGAAATACAATATATACAATATATACATACATATAACTCACTTACTAATAAATATCTGAATAAGAACGAAGAACATGTGCAAAAAGGGTGTTGCTATAGCAGGATGTGTTTGAGTGTGTGTTGAGAGCGCTGGTCTTATATGCAGGCAGCCCCAAATTGCCAACAGGCGCAGATCCTTATTGGAATGAAGAAGCTGCACCGATAGGTGGGAACTCCAGCTCTTCGGAAAAACACACAGCCACTCACACGGACCATGACAGTAACATGTTTAATACCTAATTATCACATCAAAAATTGTATATACACTCCACACCAGTTGGTGGCAGTAGTGCACCATTTATCTGTTTGCCAACCGCTAATAAACAATATAAGGAAGAAGAAGAACATTGTATATTTAGATGGAGTTTTATTGACACATGCATTCTTCTTATAACCAGGACAGAGGAGAGAAGAGGAAAAGTGAGGAGAGGAGATGGGAGTGTGGCAGAAAGGTGAAGAAGAGGTGAGAGCAGACAGAGGGCATGCAGTTTAAAAGGACCCACTATGACACAAGAAGAGCAGATTTTATAAGACCCACAGAGTAAACAGTGAGTAGGAGGACTGCTGCAGAGGGATGTCAGAAATGTTCCTCCATGGCTGACAACAACAACTACAGACACGTCTGTGACTGCGATGAACACCTGAGTGTAAGACGAGGACTGAATATGATACTTTAACCTTTAAGAGTCAAATATGAATGTGTGTAACAGTGCATGATTATGTATTATACATATATCAGAAATATGTGAAATTTAACAGCATGTCAAATCTATCTGAACATGGAAACCAGTGTTAAAACCATTTCAGTCTCAGTCAGTGTTACTGAAACATTCACTTCATCTCCAACAGCAAGTCACTGACACAGACAGTTGGAGCAGTTACAGTCAAATCATTGATCAGTGTTTTTATAACATTAGCTGCTGTTGCTGCACTAGTGCTGCTGCTATCTTTTTCTTATTGTAGGTCTAGCTAACAATATCAAGTGTCTTCATATGACTGTTGTCTAATGTTCAAATGTAGATAACACCACCTGCACCACCCTGTTACACAGCACAGCCCTCTCATGTAGGCTTGGCTGCAGCGCATATTAGCAGCTCCAGTGACATCAGCTTTCTGTGCAGTACACACTAGACAGGAGATCCCGCTCCATAGTGTCATCACATCTACAGACTGTTACATATTCTCACCTGGTAATAAGAAGCTGCACACAGCTCGAAGATTAACAGACTGAAGTAAATACAAATGAAAGTTACAGTAAACTAAAATCTTGGAAACACAACATGAAACAGCGTGGGAAATATGTTAATGTTGCATAAAACATCTGATATTTATATGATCCATATTTGAGGTGGGATGGGCTTATCCACCCACTCTCACACCATCATATCACGATCCTGGGTTAGTGTCTTGGTCTCAGGTCACAACATCAGCACAGTTTTGGCTTGGGTGAAGTAGTTGGGTGGTTCTTGTTGTCCCTGACAGCTGCAGGGACAGTGCCATCAGCCATGCAGCAGCACAATGACTGCTCAAGGAAAGTCAGTGTGGCTCAGTCTACTGTAAACATTGTCCTAAAGTGGCTGCAAGCTGGCTGTACATGCACTGTGTCCAATACTCCCAGTACGTGCACCTGCAGATGATATCCACAAACCTCTGAGTGTCACAGAGTGGGCCTGTGTTCAGGTCACTCTGCCCCATTGAATTCTACTTACAGAGTTTTACAAGTGTGAGTAAAGTTATATATACAAGTTGGTGGCTGATAAGTTATTGTAGTGACACGTAACCCCGTGGTTCTTATTGGTTAATAGTAGCTTAGAGCATCTGCACCAATCATAAAAGCACCAAGTTTGGAGCACGTGGGTCTCTGCAAGTAAGTCCCTGTAATGTTGGCCAAGCCTTATATACTAGAAACATCTGTCATTACCAGCAGATAAAGCTGCCCTTAAAGCAGGATCTCACTTTAAACCTGAAAAAAGAATTTGCTATTAGCATACTATGGTTATATGTCTCTCTCTCCTGTCTCTCACCTATCTGCCTGGGCGGAGCTCAGCTGGGCTCCGCCCTTGGCCCACGCACCTGCCGTGAATCTACCTGATGACCTGGACTCCTGGGCTATTTAAGCGGAGGGCTCAGAAGGCTTCTTCGCTGGGTTGTGGACTTACTCTCGTCAGTACAGCCCCGATAAACCCCGTTTGTTGTGTGATTACTCTGTTTATGCTCACTGCAGTTCTCTTGTGCTTAGGTTCTTGTACTCGTCCGTAACCCCGATCGGTTTCCCTGGTGGCGTGGAGTGGAGTGAGAGTGAGTGTGCTGGAAACAAATACGAGAGGTGCGAGTGAGCGGAGCGTGTTTGGATTCAGAAGAGTGCCGAAGACAAACTGGGAAGGAGCGAGTGAGCAGAGTGTGTGCTGGACTTTGTCCCCTTTTCCCCTGGACCATTGCACATCCTGCCCTGTACACGTGGGGTTTTGTAAATAAATATACGACTGCTGTTCTAGTTCAGCTGGTCTGCGCCTGGTGACAGGTGCAATTATTATATGACATTTTATTATTGTATTGTATTATTCATCCATTCACCTCTACTTTTCTTGCATTACATCACATAGTCAGTATAAATATGTTTTTTAATGAATGATGAAAGTCGGATGAATTTAATGAGCCCTTGTTGAGAGAGATGGGACAGAGAGAGACAGAAGTCCCCCCCTCACCTCTTATTGCCTCTGAGAGAAATAAAAAGGTATTAACATTTAGGCTGTTATGTTTACAATGATTTGAAGTGCTATTAGTAAATCATCTTAATTCTTAATCAGAATAGAAGTTTAATGAATATGTTGAATGAGAAATTTGGTAATTGACATTATTTAAATGTGTAGATTTTGTGTGTGTAGACGTGCCTCAGCTTTGCCCTTGAAAGATTAGTGTGTGTGGCTGCAGGAATGTTGAAAGATAAGAAATGTGCCAGAACTCCATCCTGATAAAAGACAGGATATTAAGAGTTAACAATAGAGTCATAATTCATATGTGATTTTGCTGATAGTTAATCCTGCTTAACTGACTGAAACTGTTTAGAATACAATCAAGTTTAACCAAAGCACCGAATAAGAAAATATGATAATAACTCTGTAGGCCCCATACTGAGAGTCTGTGTGGAAAGGATGGGAGGAGCCACTAATCTAACATTAACATGTAAATAAAATCAATTATACTGAATATATTTGTTTCTGGGAAGAAAGTTTTCCTATGTATTTGAATCAAAAAGACATTATGTGGATGTTCATGTGAAAATGAGCTGATGGTGAATCTAATTGAAGATGAATTGCATGGGTTGAGTGATGCTTCATAAAGTGAAGTATATTCATATGCACCCAAATGTTCATGTGTAATGGAATTTTCTATGTTAAGAAGAAAAGAAGAAAATGAAATGAAGTGATTTTGAAGGCTAAAAGTCAGATTCAGAGAGGATGAACGTTTATGGTTAGTTGCTCGAGTTCTTGCAATGAGCAGGAGACGTCATCTGAAGACTCGTCCCGTGAGTCCACAGTTTGACAGAAATTCTATCAGGATAAGATGAGTAGTTTGGCATCTCTCCATTGGCAGCTTGTATCTTTTTACATTCAGATTCTTAGGATAATAGAAGAAGATAAATAAAGATAAGAACAAGTTTCAGAGGTACCTACACAGGGAATGTGTGTAATGCACAATAAATGAAGTATCTAAACAAAAGGATATGCACAAGTTATATACAGAAACAAATATATAGATATATCTGCAGGTACAGTGTAAAGAGGAGGATCAGTTCAGTATAAGGTGCTATGTGATTGGTGGTATTGCACATTGAGTAAGCGGTAGGAATGCTGGTTGCTGCTGTAAAAGAATACAGTTCTATAAATAGAGGTAGGTAATGAATACTGGTTAGAAATAAATATAGTGCAAGTGTCCATGAGTGTTAACAGCACAGTTAACCTTCAATCAGGGTGGAGGTAGAAACTTCTACTGAGTCTGTTTGTCTTTGACCTGTTGGACCTGTAGAGTTTACTGGAGGGAAGGTGGGAAAGTGAGTGTCCAGGGTGCAAGGGGTCCTTGATGATGATGCTGGCTTCCTGCTGAAGTCTGCCAGTATAGATGTCTCTGAGGTTAGTGAAGTGCCGATTGCCCACTCTGCTGCCCTCACCACGTGCTGCAGTTTCCTCTTGTCCTCCACAGTCCAGCAGTTGAAGCAGAGTGTGCAGCAGTAGGTCAGAAGGCTCTCGATGGTGGAGCAGTAGAAATTAATTAGCAGGCTTTGGGGCTTGACATTGCTTCCTGAGGAAGTACAGCCTTTGTTGTGCTTTCCTTACCTGGTGGGAGATGTTTGTGGACCAGGTAAGGTCGGCCGAGATGTGGACTCAGAGGAACTTGAAGCTCTCCACCCTTTCTACCTCCTCCCCATCAACGTAGAGGGTGGAGTGCTCAGATCGCTTTGTTCTGCTGAAGTCGATTATCATGTCCTTGGTCTTGGCTGTGTTCAGATGCAGGTTGTTGTCATCACACCATTGCTTCAGATGCTGAACCTCCTCTCTGTAGGCTGAATCATCGTTGTTGTCAAACAGTCAAATACAAATACAAATTTTATAATGG